AAGAGAACAAGAACTACCAGACTTTAAGAAGACATCTGAAGGCAGCCCTGTTTAGGGAAGCTTTTAATGTTTGATACATTACAGTATTTTAATATTTTGTTGGAAGCCGCCCAGAGTGGCTGGGGAAGCAGGGTATAAATAATAAATTATTATGATAGACCTCCAGGTATAGGGCGGCATATAAATTATTATTGTTGTTGTTGTTGTTGTTGTTATTTGTCACTCAAGGCTCAGGTGGCCTCAGCGGCCCAGAGTGCCTTCTATTAGCTTCGACTGGCGGCCCAGCTACACCTCTATCTGGACAGGGATAGCCTAACTACTGTTGTCTATGCTCTGGTAACCTCAAGGCTAGATTACTGCAATGCGTCATACGTAGGGCTGCCTCTGAAGACGGTTCAGAAACTTCAGCTGGCGCAGAATTCAACGGCCAGGTTGCTCACTGGATGGTTTGAGCATATTACACCAATCCTGGTCCAACTGCACTGGGTAACAATTAGTTTTCAGGCCCTGTTCAAAGTGCTGGTTCTGACCTATAAAGCCTTAAACGGCTCAGGACCGCAAGACCTCAAGGACCTCCTCTTTCCATATGAACCTACCCAGGCCCTGATATCATCTTCTGAGGCCCTCCTTCATGACGCCCCTCCTCGAGAGGTCTGGAGGGTGGCAACACGAGAACGGGGCCTTCTCTGTAGTGGCTCCCTGTCCATAGAATGTTCTCCCCAACAAAGTTCACCTGGCTCCTTCATTATACACCTTTAGGCACCAGGCAAAAAAGTTCCTTTTTAACCACGCCTTTGGTTGACCTGATTGACATCCTGTACTTTTTAAAAATGTGGCTTTTTTTGGGGGGGTGTTATTGGGTTATTGTTTTAGTTCTAATTTTATATATTGTGATCTTTTCTGTGAACCGCCCTGAGACTTCCGGGTATAGGGCAGTATATAAATTCAACAAGGAAATACGTCAATCTGTGTCTGGGCTGGACTCTGTGTGAGAGGGGTGTCGTGTGACCGAATGCTCCTCTGTACCAAAGTGCCCTTCTGCTCAGAAAAGTAGGTGTCAAGGGAGCAAGGCGGTGCTAGGAACCCAGAAGGCAAAACGGAGATACCTAGTGTGGTGATCACACAGGGTCCCCGGACGTTTAACCGTCTAGTGATCCCTGTGCCACCACTGTGCTCGCTTCCCCGCTGCCACCAACCCGTTAAAGGTAAAGGTAAAGGTACCCCTGCCCGTACGGGCCAGTCTTGACAGACTCTAGGGTTGTGCGCCCATCTCACTCAAGAGGCCGGGGGCCAGCGCTGTCCGGAGACACTTCCGGGTCACGTGGCCAGCGTGACAAGCTGCATCTGGCGAGCCAGCGCAGCACACGGAACGCCGTTTACCTTCCCGCCAGTAAGCGGTCCCTATTTATCTACTTGCACCCGGGGGTGCTTTCGAACTGCTAGGTTGGCAGGCGCTGGGACCGAGCAACGGGAGCGCACCCCGCCGCGGGGATTCGAACCGCCGACCTTTCGATCAGCAAGTCCTAGGTGCTGAGGCTTTAACCCACAGCGCCACCCACGTCCCTCCACCAACCCGTTACTCTCTGGTAAAACACTTAGTCCAGACAGTTGTTAAAAGTGAACCAAAAAAACCCCAAGTTTATTTTACAAACATTAACAAGTTTATGGTTTCTCAGATAATATTCCTGTCGATATCTTAACTTTAGTTCCTTTACCGGCCTATACCTTCCTAATACCTTCTGACTGATTATCTCAACTGTTTGACTGACTCCTCTTAACAAATTCTCTCACACTCTCACACCAGCCCAGCCCAACTCACAGACTTATCTTCTCTGTCTCTTCTAACTCCAGACTGTCTTCTCAACCACCCTAACTCTTAACTCCTCCAAAAAAACCCCTCTGTGCTTAAACCTTATACACAGTTAACTCTGCCCCTTGGGTTTTCATTGGTTAGTCATTTTACAATTAGCTAACCCTTTCCTTATGAACCCGGTATAATGTCACACTTTTAGGAGGGTAAACGACACACCTAGGAGCAGGAGGGATGGCAAGCAGTGCTCCGTGAAGAACAAAAAGCAAGGGCAGCTTATTTGCAAAGGTAGCGCAGCTTCTCTGGGGAGAATGGGAGTCACTCGCCCTGTTGCACACTCTCAGCAGCTGCAGCAAAAATACAACCATGTGCTTCAAGAATAGAGGAGGCAAAGTCTCTGGGAGCAGCTGGACTTTGTGCATCCTGTTGTTTTTTGAGGGGAAGAGATATCAAAATAAGAATTCGACCATGTTTGTAATTGTGATTCTGGGGAGCAAAATTCTAGCCGCTTTCTGTTCATTATGCCCCCCACTCCAAAACCCTCTGGTTGGTGGTTCCACTGAGGCCACGGACTCCACTTTCAACTGCTTTTTCATGGAGGACTAAGTTGGATAGTACATCTTCCTCTCAAACTGTTCCAGTTTACCATTCCGCCTTCCACAGTGTTTCTGGCCACTCCTCCCCTACCCACCCCAATAATATCCTGGTGCTAAGCAAACGCTTGCAGATATAATAAATAAGCAATAACTTATACAGTAATTGAGAGTCTTCAAAGAACGGCTCGTGCCAGAATACTACATTTTGTTGTAACCCTTGCAACAAGAAACCGGTAAAGTAGAGCGGTGCGATTACTCAGGATCAAGACTGTTGCTGCACAACGCGCCAGAACTTTAGAAGACATCTACCTATACTTTGGGAGAGTGGAGAAAATGTGATTTAAGTGTATGGCGTGGTTCATCTAAGGCAGGGATGCCGAAACCCGAGGTCCTCCAGATGTTGATGGTCTCCAGCTTCCCAAAGGTGGGGGGATTCAAGTCTGGCAACATCTGGAGGGCTAGAGGTTCCCCACTCCTGGTCTAAGGGATTCAAGAGTTCATGGCAGAGATGAGATTCAATCAGGCTTGTGTGCTTTTCTGATTCGAAGCTGAGCCTCCAAAGTGCATCAAGTCTAGCCCCACTTCTAAGCCCTTGGCCTTTCCCATTCCACATTGCCAAGTTTCTCTACTCTGGGAGGTTTCCACCACGTGGCACCCCTTCCCTGTCATGCAGGATTGCTTTGATCAGAACCCTAATAAATGCCTGTTTTCATAGAATCATAGAACTGTTCGCCTGGCGCCTTCATTAGACACCTTTAGGCATCAGGCAAAACGTTCCTTTTTAAGCAGGCCTTTGGTTGATCTGTACCCTTTTAAAATGTGGCTCTTTTCTGGGGGAGTATGATTGGGTTGTTGTTTTTATTCTGATTATATATGTTGTGATCTTTTCTGTGCACCGCCCTGAGATCTCCAGGTATAGGGCGGTATACAGCGGTACCTCGGGTTACAGACGCTTCAGGTTACACGATTTCGGGTTGCGCACCGCGCCAAACCCGGAAGTACCGGAATGGGTTACAGTGGTACCTCAGGTTACATACACTTCAGGTTACAGACTCCGCTAACCCAGAAATAGTACCTTGGGTTAAGAACTTTGCTTCAGGATGAGAACAGAAATCGCGCAGCAGCAGCAGGAGACCCCATTAGCTAAAGTGGTGCTTCAGGTTAAGAACAGTTTCAGGTTAAGAACGGACCTCCAGAATGCATTAAGTACTTAACCCGAGGTACCACTGTACTTCCAGGTTTCGGCGCTCGCTCATGTGCAGAAGCGCCAAATCGCGACCCCTGCGCGCGCACAGACACGGTGCTGTGGGTTGCGAACGTGCCTCCCACACGGATCACATTCGCAAGCCGAGGTTCCATTGTATAAACCCAACAAATAAATAAATATAAGTGGAAGGGACCATGAGGGGTCATCTAGTTCAACCCTCTGCAATGCAAGAATCTTTCACCCAACATGGGACTCAAACCCACAACCCTTAAATTAAGAATCTCATGCCCTACCGACTGAACTATAATGATTATTTGCCAGGAGGATGACTCCCCAGGCGCAAAAGTAGGCTTTATTTCACACACGTCAAAGACCCAGTTTGGCACCCCATGAACATTTGCATACATCCACCCACAGGCTGGGAGCCTCAATGGCACCCCTCTGGAGGCTTCATTGGGGCAATAACCCAACTAGCGCTCCCCCTAGCTATAGCCCTGCGCCTCCCCTCATTCGTCTAACTACTCGAGAAGGGAAGGGAATTATGTGTGTGTGTCGCAACCACTGCTACCTCCCCACCCCTCCCCTCCTCGGCAAAGCTTCTTCTACCAGCTGCCAGACAGGCGGACTTTCAACAGGTGAAGCTGTCCCCCATTTCCGAGGTACAGCAATAGGAGTGAGGAAAGGCTTCACCGGCTGGGCGTCCGGTTCCTCCTAGCAGCGCAGCCACAAAACTGCCAGCACATTTGCAAAGCTTAGGCATGATTTCAAACTGGATGCCTTGAGATCCCTGTATTGCAGGCATGTCCAACAGGTAGATCGTGATCTACCGGTAGATCACTGGACGCCTGCGGTAGATCACTGGCTCCCCCCAAAGAAGCTGAACAACTGTGGCTCCCCTAAAGAAAACTCAACAGGTCAAGAGAGCCAGTGTGGTTTAGTGGTTAAGAGCGGTAGACTCGTAATCTGGTGAACCGGGTTCGCTTCCCTCCACATGCAGCTGCTGGGTGACCTTGGGCTAGTCACACTTCTCTGAAGTCTCTCAACCCCACTCACCTCACAGAGTGTTTGTTGTGGGGGAGGGAGGGAAAGGAGAATGTTAGCCGCTTTGAGACTCCTTTGGGTAGCGATAAAGCGGGATATCAAATCCAAACTCTTCTTCAACATTTTACCTCCTCCCTGAAAAAACTCAACAATTTTGACCCGAGCCCCCAAAAAGGGGGTAGATCACTGCCAGTTTTTAACTCTGTGAGTAGATGGCAGTCTCTTGGGAGTTGGCCACCCCTGCTGTATTGCAAATCGGTTGGACTGGATTGAGCCTTAGTTAGGCTCCCCTCCCAATTCTCCCATTCCATGCTTTCCACGCTGCTGCCCTGAAGGCCCACCTTACCGGCAAAGTTCTTGGTGAAAACCAGCGTGACGAGGACGATGGGGATGAGGACGGTGCCGATGGTGACGACGCGGTCGAAGGGCAGCTCGAGCTTGAGCTGCAGCAGCAGCGCCGCCAGCGAGCCCGCCTTGTCGTCCTGCGCACCGGGCAGGATCAGCTCCTTGAGTTTCTCGCCCGCCAGCAGCGCCGTGGCCATGTCCGGGTGGTTCTCGATGATGTGTTGCATAAGCGGCGCTCCTCACCCGGGCGCTCCTGCCTGCAGCAGGGGAAGCGTCGCCGCCTGGCCGGAGGAGATCCACGAAATCCAGGAGAAGATCCAGCGGATCCCCAGCCGAGGAAGGTGGTCCCGGCCTGCGGGGAGGAGGAGCGACACCGGAGAGCGATGAGAAAAAGAGAGGGCGCACGTGGGGACCGAGGAAGGCGACGAGGCACCATCTCCCTTTTTGCGCAACAGCCGCGTCCCTGGCGAGACTGCGGCAACGGCGATTGGGGGGTGCCCTTGGCGCCCGCAGCCGCGGATCTCCGTGGCCGCCACCCCCCTCTCCCCGGGCCTCCCTTCCCCAAGCGGCGGAGGAGATTAAGCGCCATGCAATACCGCCGAGGACGAGGTGCCGGCGGTCAGCCTTGGAAAGGCGCGACCCGGATTGCGCCAAGCTGGGTGGTTGCAGCCAGCGCGCAAAAACCAGCGGGCAGGGAAAGCGCCGCGGGCGTAAAACAACAACACCTGCGTGGATAAAAACCACCGCGATAATCATGTTATCGCGGCTCTACTGCGCAATAAAAGCCCATCAGAAGCTGCTGATATATAATTTCTATATAGAACATATTATACACACACACACAAAGACACACACAGCTGTATGTACCAAGAAGCTTGTTGCAGAACTAGAATTGTCGTTTTCCGGTTACCTTGATGGGAGTCCTTTTTTTTAAATCCCCGCGCCTCTCCTGCTCCCAAGCCGAGAGAGGAGCGCAAGGGTGACTCGGCAAAATCAGAGATGGTAAAGGGAAAAAAATAAATAAAATCCGGCTGCGGCAGGCTGGCAAGACTCCGGCCTTCACATAGTACTTCCTTTTGGTCCCCAAGTCTAGTGCAGGATCTCACCCACCCGCCTCTCCGAAGAAGAGAGGGGCGATTTGCAAAGGGCAGTTGCACGAAAGGAAGCGTCCTCCGCGGTAGCCGCCGCAACGAGCTGTTGGAGAAGGCGCTTTGCAGCGGCGAAGGAAGCCCCCCAGCGGAATGCAATGGGTTGAACGCCGCCCAGAGGTCGTTTAAGGTCTCCGCTTAAACATCTGGAATTGGTGGAGCTGCCAGCAGCGGCAGGAGTGGGGGCTTTGCTCCAGGAGAGAAGGGTGGCCGCGAGGAGGCATAGGCTGCAGGCATTATCGGCTCAGAAGCTGCCGAGTCACCCAGTGCAACACGTTGCGCCTCGAAGTGGCGACAGACAGCTTCTCCTGCCGCTGCCTGGGAATGGCTCGGCGGCATCTCCGGCTGCTTTTGAGGCTGGCAGCCTGGTTAGAAGCGACGGAGGGAGCCCCTTTGGATAAAAGGGGGGGCCAGGAAAGCCGCCTCTGGGCCTCATTGCGGAGGCAACCAAAGGAACCCGGCGGCGAGCGCTGAAGCGGCGCAAATGCAAATGCAGAAGGGGATTTATTTCGATTGCTAGTCGCCCCATCCTCTTCCCCCTCTCTCTCTCTCGACACCTAGCTCTTGTTCTGCAATGGCATTAGTGCAGCCAAGTCCTCTGCATGTTTGCCCACAAAAACATCCCGTGGAGTTCAGTGGGTGTTTGTACTCCCGTGACACGCGAGAGTGCATAGGGACTGCAGCCCTGGGTGGTGGTTGTTATAATTTGTTGTTATTGTTTAGCCGTTTAGTTGTGTCCGACTCTTCGTGAGTCAACGTACGGTGAGAACTGAGAACTATGCAAAACTCAAGGCAAAAGAGCTTCTTGTTATATTATAAAGGATGGGAATTATTTAGTTTTTCAGATATTGCTGTACTACAACTCTCATCATCCCTGTTTGTCACGCTGGTTGGCGATAGGCCCCCATCTGTTCTAGAGCAACAGAACATTTCTGATTCTGCTGAAGCTAATGACTGAATTAAATCTGATTGCAAATACACAGCCTAGACTGAGTCATTAATACTTGGAATGATTCATTCTCCTGAATAATTTATGTATGTCACCCAGACATATTGCTTTAGTGTTATTTGATTTCCCCCATCACCATCTAGTCCTCATTATTTGTCCAGACTGAACATCAGAGTATTGCTGCTAAAGATCTGTACATTATCAGTGAGCTGTATAGTACAGATGGCAGAAGGAAGTGTTAATTTGCTAGTTGAATTAAGTAAATACAGTTGAATTAAGAAAATACAGAAGTGCATCTTTCCCCATCCCTTGAATTTCATCTTTCTATAGAAGCAAGGAAGGGCTTTCTCTTAAAAACAGCCTTTTTGCAGAGGGTTCAGAGCACAGTTCAGTATATTTTACCCTTTTCCAGTATAGTTCCAGTTGTACCTGCCATTTGTTTCCCCAGCGTGCCTCTGGGCTGGTGAAAATCCAGTTTGACTGGAGTTTCACTACATGGCATGCTCAAATGCTATAAAAACAACTCTTTTTAAGGGGGTGGAAATGTTTCTGGGGAAAACAGTATCACAGAATTATAGAGTTGGAAGGGAACCTGACGATCATCTAGTGAACTACCTGCGAAGCAAGAATATATAGCTGCCCATGTAAGGATCAAACTTGTAGCCTTGGTGTTAACAGCATCATGTTCTGAGATTGGCTCTGATATTCCCATGTTGCCATTTTTTTGAGGGGAGGATGGGACAGGCTCTTCTGGATTTTGACCCACAAGTTTGGCCTCAATGGGGCTCCATGTTGTTGTTTAGTCGTTTAGTCGTGTCCGACTCTTCGTGACCCCATGGACCAGAGCACGCCAGGCACTCCTGTCTTCCACTGCCTCCTGCAGTTTGGTCAGACTCATGTTTGTATCTTCGAGAACACTGTCCAACCATCTTGTCCTCTGTCATCCCCTTCTCCTTGTGCCCCCCATCTTTCCCAGCATCAGGGTCTTTTCCAGGGAGTCCTCTCTTCTCATGAGGTGGCCAAAGTATTGGAGCCTCAGCTTCAGGATCTGTCCTTCCAGTGAGCACTCAGGGCTGATTTCCTTCAGAATGGATAGGTTTGATCTTCTTGCAGTCCATGGGACTCTCAAGAGTCTCCTCCAGCACCATAATTCAAAAGCATCAATTCTTCGGCGATCAGCCTTCTTGATGGTCCAGCTCTCACTTCCATACATCACTACTGCAGTGTTTCCCAACCACTGTTCCGCGGCACACTAGTGTGCCGCGAGATGTTGCCTGGTGTGCCGCGGGAAAAATTAAAAAATTGAAAGATTTTTTTTTTAAAGTCAAATTTTCGATTGGGGCGCCGTCACTAGATGACCCCTGGGGTTCCCTCCCTCCCTCCCGCTCTGCGCCTCCCTCCTCCTCCTCCGGGGAGGCCCTTCCTGGCTCTCGGCCAAGGCTTGGCGGCTGCCACTCAATCACTCGCTCGCCCACCCGTCCCTCCATCCCTGCACCCGGCCTCTCCCCCTCCGTCCCCGGCGCGGGGGCTGCCGGGATCCGTAGTCCCCTCGCCCTTGGGCTCCGCGCCTGCGCGGGGTGCGCGAACTACGTTTCCCAGCGTGGCCTGGCGGGCCGGGCGTTTTGTTTGAAGCGCTCTTCTCCCGGCCATGGAATGAGCGCAGCGGCGGCGGCCGGGCGGGCAGGGGCTCTTCCGCGCAGACCCCGCGCAGCCTGCCTGCGCCCCCCGGAGATCGGGCGGCAGGATGGAGCCCGGGGATCCCCGCGGAGGCGGAGCGGCGGAGGCGGAGGCTGCCCCCCAGGTAGGGCTGCGTCGGGGTTTTTTTATTTTTGCAATGCTGCATCCGCACCGGAGGGGACGCATCGGACCGTGGGGAGACCCCTTGGCGGGCGTGCAAGGCAATGCATGCGTGCAGGCGTTGCATGGAGTGCAGTGCAATGCAATGGCAACGCGGCGCCCTGCATGCATGCATGCAACTTCCACCGGCGCTCCGGACTTGGCAGGTGAGGGGGGTCCCCAGTGGGCGGCAGAGAGAGCCGGGAGGGCGAAGGGGAGCCGGGGGGAGCAGCGCTGCTCCCCTAGCCGAGGCCGGGAGGAAACTTCGGCGTCGTTGCGCCGGGTGTTGGAAGCGGAGGCTGGCGGGGGCCCCTCACCTGCAAAACCTGGTCGCCTCTCATATATTTCGTGCATTGCATTCATCGCCCGCTTTCTCCTCCAAGGAGCTCCCGGGGGCGCGCGTGGTTCTCCCTGTGTTATCCTCGCAACAACAGCCCTGCGAGGTGGGTCAGGCGAGTGGCCCAAGGGAGCACCCAGGGATTGTCCTGGCCAGGTGGGGTGATTTGAACCCTGCTCTCTGCCCGGTCTTCGTCCTCATTTAGCCCCCACATGTGCATGACTGTGCATGACTGAGGTTTTCCCCCCTCGTCTTGGCTATGGTGTGAGTCTGTGCTGTTAATTAATGGGGTTCTGCCTTCGGAGAAGATGAGCCAGCCCTCAAGGAGGTGATTATGTAATTTGCTAGCAATTCATGTCCCTCCCGGCGTGACGCTGCGCGCTGATGTCATGGGGCTGTAATGGTGGTGTGCCTCGAGATTTTTTTCATGAAACAAGTGTGCCTTTGCCCAAAAAAGGTTGGGAAACACTGCACTACTGGGAAAACCATGGGGCTCCATATACATCACCAAACAAATGTTTTACATCTTGCTGGCACCGCTTCTTCAATAAAACCCCAAAGTGCCTACAGCAAACTCACAAAGCCTGATACAAACGAATGCTGTAAAGATTCAGCTTCAACTAATTTATAGGAATTTAGGTGAACGCTTCCTTGAGCTAGGGACGCGGGTGGCGCTGTGGGTAAAACCTCAGTGCCTAGGACTTGCCAATCGTATGGTCGGCGGTTTGAATCCCCGCAGCGGGGTGAGCTCCCGTCGTTTGGTCCCAGCTCCTGCCCACCTAGCAGTTCAAAAGCACCCTTAAGTGCAAGTAGATAAATAGGTACTGCTTTATAGCGGGAAGGTAACGGCGTTTCCGTGCGCTGCGCTGGTGCTGGCTCGCCAGAGCAGCTTCGTCACGCTGGCCACGTGACCTGGAAGTGTCTCCGGACAGCGCTGGCCCCCGGCCTCTTAAGTGAGATGGACGCACAACCCCAGAGTCGGTCACGACTGGCCCGTATGGGCAGGGGTACCTTTACCTTTACTTGAGCTGCTCAATCTGGCTTCTGATTTCTGCCAGGTAGATGCATTTGAGAAAACGGAGGTGAGAAGTCAAAGGGGAAATTCAACAACGGGTGCTCTGTCAGAGCAACATAATTGCATACTGGTGTGAACCACAAGAAGCTGTTCAGTGGTGTCAGAAATCTGTGCAAAGCTGCAAAGTCTCTCCCCCCCCCCCAATCTTGGATTATTTTCTGCAAAAGGTTCTCAGTAGAACATCTGCACCACATTTATTTATTAATGCATTTGTTAACAGAAGGTGTAGGTCTCCTGAGTCACCTGATGACGCAGATGCTCTCATTGAGGTGGAAGGATTGCTTAGGTAACTGCCTTATTTAATTTAGAAAATTAGAGTTATCCAGGTGTTAACGCATCCTTCATCTGTATGTACTAGCCACATAATTCAATTAAATGGCATTCCTACAGAGCCTAGAACTTACAACCTGGGACTTTTGCAAAGGCAGCCTCCACTCTGAACCCATTCATTTTAGAGGACATGTTTAGGCTCAGAATACATAGCAGACTCATGCACAGCATATTGTACAGATGTAGACTCTGTCCATTTTTTGGGGGGGAAGCAAGCATGAATTTTGGGAGGCAGCATCTTAAGTCCTCTAGCAATCCTGGTGACACCCACCCACCCACCGATCCGATTTGTGGCCCTGATTTATAAATGAGGATTGGATCCATTCTGACCAGATCTGGAAATCTCATAGACTTGCACTATGAAACCAAAATGTCCTTAACATCCTTGCTTGTTCATAAGGGGGCATGAAATTTGTGGACATGGTAGCCCCTCTAGAGCTAATCAACCTGGATATGTTGCAGATGGGTAGCACCAGTAATTTTAATGCTAACCACCTTTAAACACTGCTTTTAAAAAAAAATACAGTGTGCATGCTTGTCATACACACACACACTGGCTGGATTGCCCCCTCCCCCTCTGAGCTTTCCAGGGTATTCAATTGGCATTGTGCTTCAAGAGATTTCAGAATCTCTTGAAGATGACAAACAACTCTAATTGTTCATTACAATTCCAGTATACCCCATTAAATGAAGGCAACAGGAGACATACTAGTCCTCCTAGGCGCCACGGAGCTGGTAAAATTGGCACCAGTGGCACAGGGACTCCAACATCACAAAAATAATTTTCAATTGAAAGGAAAAACTAAAAGGTACTAGGGGCTATAATTGAGTGTACAGAGGAG